AAATTTCGTGGGTAGCAACTAGGTATACCAAATTAATCATTTATTGATAAAATCACTTCCGTTTCAACCGGAATCAACCTCAACTTTTTATGTTTGAATAGGAAACCCTGTATATTCTTTTATATTCATCTTGGATTTCCTGAATATACGTAAAAAAATTAAGTTGGGCCAACAGGGCCAACATAAATAATTTAGTAATGTGAAAACCGCAACTCTCTATCTCCAAAGACAACTGAGAAAATCATCGATAATGTCACACATTGTATACCTACCCCGAGATCTAGGTACCTATATTGAAGTTTCATTATCGAACAATACTCATATATTTCAAAAATCGCATTACCGTTATTAATAAAGCATCTATACTTAGGTAGGTATGTAGGTACAATATTTTGCCAAATCTAGGAATCCTATATTATACCATCATTATTCCCCAATATTGTACCAATAACTTCTCAACAATATTGTTTCGATATCGTGCTGGAATGAGACAACTGAGAAAATCATCGATAATGGAACACATTGTATATACCTACCCCGAGATCAAGGTACCTATTGAAGTTTCATCATTTAACAATACTCATATGTTTCGAAAATCGCATTACCGTTATCAATAAAGCATCTTCTATACTTAGGTATGTAGGTTCAATATTTTGCCAAATCTAGGGATCCTATATTATACCATCATTATTCTCCAATATTTTACCAATAACTTCTCAACAATATTGTTTCGATATCGTGCTGAAATGAGACAACTGAGAAAATCATCGACAATGGAACACATTGTATATACCTACCCCGAGATCTAGGTACCTATTGGAGTTTCATCATCTAACAATACTCATTATGTTTCGAAAATCGCATTATCGTTATTAATAAAACATCTTCAATACTTAGGTATGTAGGTACAATATTTTGCCAAATCTAGGGATCCTATATTATTCCATCATTATTTCCCAATATTGTACCAATAACTTCTCAACAATATTGTTTCGATATCGTGCTGAAATGAGTAGGTACACATTGTGTGTGCTGCTGGATAACTTATGGCGAAAACTGATGTGTACGTAACAAGAAAGTATCTACGATTTTACTTAGGTACATGGACTTTAGTACTCGAATGATATCAATAGGTTAACCTATACTTGTTACATAGTAAGTAGGTAAAAACATTTTTCTGACTGAACTACCAAACTGCACGAGGGCATCGAGGGGTAGAAAGAATTCTTGGATTTTGCAGCATCAGCACATGGTATGGCAAGGAAAAACATAATCAAAATTGTATCAAAGTTGAACTTGTATCAATAATTGGGATAAATAATTTTACCTTATCATTTTTTGCACCACTGTTATAATATTCCACTCGCGATCCACGCCACACGCTTGAAGACTCTATGAGACAACTGAAAGAACTGAGCTAGTGAGTGTCAAGCAAAGATAGTCACTCTATGACCTGAGGTATTTGCCCGACAGTGTTGTCGGGTGTACTAGGAAACATATTATACTAAAAACTTACATTTCTTGTTCAGACAAGAATATCAGAATAATGTGAAGAAACTGGAATGCCTACCTAGGTGTATCTTGAATTGAAATTCCACAATAAATAAAAATTTCGTTTCATTTCATAAGTTGTGTTGAAATGAACATTTCATCACCAATTATGTATTATTCCACTTTGCGCATTTGTTTATACAGTGTGTCCCACTTACCATGCTCACGATGGGTATCTTTTTAACGGTGAGAGATACGAGGTCGGTTAAATTACACCAAATGTGGAGTTTGTCAAGGCCAACTATAATGTGAAGAAATAGTTTGATAAAATCTATTCGTTTTATACGCAAAAAACAAATTTTGATCATTTTCCATGTCTCCTCCGTAACTTCTTTATTTATGAAAATATTCAGATAGGAATTTCACATTCTCATGGGAGTTTTTCGAAGTGAATTCGAAAAAAATATGATAACTCTTCTAGAATTTGAGATATCAGCACCAACTTCAGTTGTTCAAATGAAGCTCATAGCTCACTATGAATTAGTTACAAATAACTTTTTTTCCTCTTACAGATGACATGTCGCAGTTATAGTTTTGTGTTGATAACAACGGAGTTATCGTCATTTATACAAGAACATAAACTTATTTGGAAGCCGCCATCTTGAATTTACAAATTTTAACAAAAATATCATGATCGTCGACCTCAAAAACCCCCATTTACCAATTTTGAATGGAATGGGACCAAATCTTGTCCGCCATCTTGGAGCAGCCATTTTTTTAGAATTATTTCCATTTCCATTTACTAATCAATGCATATTGTTACATACAAACAAAGCGTATGGTCAAATTTAGACGTTCGTTCAGAACTTCGAAATCTTCAAGATTATGCATCTTAAACTTTCTGCACAATTACAAATAATCGTGTCCGTTCAACATAATAATCCTTTCGCATCGTGATCGGATTATTTCAACTGTTAAACTGATACTCTTCGTAATTATATGCAACAAAAGTTATCGATGTTTAGCCCTAATCTTTTGAAGTACTTATAGTATTATAGTATTACTACTGAAAATAATAGATTTAGTGACAAAACCAAGATGGCAACAGTGGTGACTAGTCTTGTCGTTCACGGTAACACTCGAACGTGCGCGAGAAAGCTCTAATATTGAGAATTCATCATTGAATTGATATTAGGTGTTTGATATGGTACACATATATAAAATCTAGAAGGTGACTTCACTATATTGAACCTGATGTTTGCTAGCAATATTGAACTAATCTTCATTTCTCAATATTGCTCCATTATCATCATGTTGATAGTATCTAGAGATTACGCCTCAATATTATATCAATATAACTGACTGAACTCAAGATTATACAGATACAGTACAGATAATATCGCTTGCACATTGTGATGACAACATCGAATTGATATTGAGATCTGATTATGGTACCTACAAATATATGGAATCAGGAAGTTGGTTCCACAATATTGAACACTATGATTATTTGCAATATGAAATTCATATTCATTTATAAGGATTGCTCTATTATCATCTTGATGATAGTTTCAAGAGATCACAGCACAATATTGTATACATAAAGTTGACTGGAATGAGCATTAGAAATATTGCTCTGATATTGAGATTGTATCATTGAATTTACACTGAGTTTTTGATGTGGTACACATTAATGGAATCAAGAAGTTGAACTCACGATATTGAACCTAATGATTATTTGCAATATAGAATTATCTTCATTTCTCAATATTATCCCTTTATCATCCTGTTGATAGTATCAAGTGATTACACCTCAATATTATATCAATATAACTGACTGAACTCAAGATGGATAATATTGCTTGCACATTGTGATGACAACATCGAAATAGAATTGGGATCTGATTATGGTACAAATATATAGAATCAGGAAGTTGGATTCACAATATTGAACACAATGATTATTCGCAATATGATGATCATATTCATTTAACAATATTGCTCTTTCATCATCTTGATGATAGTTGCAAGAGATTAGAACACAATATTGTATACATAAAGTTTACTGAAATATGCATAGGTGATATTGCTCTAATATTGAGATTTCATCATTGAATTGACCTTGGGTTTTTGGTATGGTTAACATGAATGGAAACAAAAAGTAAACCTCACGATATTGATCCTAATAGTTATTTCCAATATCGAATTATCTTCATTCCTATTTATGGATGATATTATTGCTTGCACATTGTGATCACAGCATCGAATAAATATTGGGATCTGGTTATGGTACAAATATATGGAATCAGGAAGTCGGTTTCACAATATTGAACATAATGATATTTCGCAATATCTAAATCATCTGCATTTCTCAATATTGCTGCAACCTCATCCTGATGAAATCCACTAGAACAATATCGCTGGGATATTGGGATTTGATCATTGAATCCATATAGAGTTTGTGATATGGTACACATATATGGAATAAATTGATCGACCTCACGATATCCAACGTGATGATTCTTTGCAATATCGCGGTCATCTCCATTTCCCAATATTGCTTCATTATCAAACAGATGATGGTGTCATAAGAATACAACTCTTTATTGTATACATATAATTTACCAATATCCACACAAACAATATTGGTGGAATATTGGGATGTCATCATTGAATAGCAGTTTTGTTTTCGATATGGAATACATATATGAAATCAAGAAGTCCACGTGACGATATTGAACCTGATGTTTTATTGCAATATCCTCCAAGATACATTCTATCGATATAGGTTACATATCCAGTAGTAATATGAACTGATATCAGGCAATCAATATATCTATCATGAAGATTTATCAATATCGAGACATAAATCATCAGGATATAGGAGGAATATAGATTTCATCACATATGTCATTATGAATATCGATACAATGTAGGATTCTCAAGATCCTGAAAAATGTAAGCCTATCAACATTGTATTCATATTGATCCGTCCAGCTCATTTATTCAATATAGTTACAATATCATCCGACCGATTTACGATATTCAAATATTGGGCCAATGCAGAGCCGATTTGCAGCCGATATTCTGTGCTACTGGGGAGTGAACATCCGCACCAGCTACAGCGAAGAAGGGGAGGTTCGTTGTAGGGAAAGTTAAATTAATAACTAGAAAATATGGTGTTGAATGGGCACCAGGCGGATTTACCCCGTGCGAATACCCCTCGTTGATCAAACCCAATCTTTCAAATTCACCAAATCAAGATTGAGGCTAAGTTATCACAGAAGTCAAATATTTCAGAATAAAATACGGGTCACCCTCGAATGTGTTTATTGACTACAGATTCACAATTCATATGAAAAAACTTGTCAATGATGAGGCAGTTCAGAGCCTCAGGATCAACTTTTACAAAAAAAATGAAAATAAAAATCCGAACACCAATGCACAAAACCTAAAGCCAACTAAGCAGTTACCGGAAATAGCAACAACAGCCTTGAAGTCACCTGAACATGCAGCAAGTACAAGGTAAGGGCAGCGTAGAAATTAAAGGGCCACAGTCAAGTATATTGTGTGTCACGGAAGGGCAAAACGCAGCGCATGAGCTCAGGCGCAGGTTTGGGGTAGATATGGCATCCGACTTATCGACACCGCGCACACAATAATTTCCACTTACAAGTCTACCCAGGGAGTATCAATGAATAGAGACAAGAAACAAGCTAAATAAAACTCAGGGTATAAAACATCAAATCATACACCAACTAGAGGACTCAGTAGGTAGCTCAGCAAATTCAGCGGATTTAGCAAATTTAACGAATTCAGCAGATTTAGCAAATTCAGCAAATTTAGCAAATTCAGCAAATTCAGCAAATTCAGCAAATTTAGCAAATTTAGCAAATTCAGCAAATTTGGCAAATTTTTTTAGAACAAAAATAAGTGGAGAGGTGGGCCTCACGGTCCCGGTGAACTCTCTTAGGCGCTGTTGGATTGGTAATAGTACCCTTGTTCCAATAGAAACGCCCAGTACAATGCCATGTATGATGTTGAGGGATGGTTTGGTGTCCAAAATAAAAACCCTGGGAATAAATGATCCAATAACTACCTATCTCTACCCCACGTTGGGCGCCAAAAATGCAACCTAACTAATCGTGCTAAGCACAAGGTCACTAGACCACTATTGTTGAATAACAAGTGGGCATCCGCACCAGTTACAGTCGAAGAAGGGGAGGTTCGTTGTAGGGAAAGTTAGAAAATATGGTGTTGAATGGGCGCCAGGCGAATTTACCCCGTGCTAATACCCTTCGTTGATCAAACTCAATCTTTCAAATTCACCAAATCAAGATTGGGGCTAAGTTATCACAGTGGACAAGAAAAACATCCAGGAAGCGACGAAATTATGAGTCGTGAAATTTTCCGGCCATCAACGATACAAGAGGTACGTCAGTTTTCAAGGTGAACGAGTTAGGTACTTCAGATAATGTGTTTATAACCTCGAAACAATCGCCAAGCCGCTGACTAACTTGACAAATAAGATCATGGTATTCGAGTGGAGTGATCTTCAACAACAAGTATTCTATCAGCTGAAAGAAATTTCGACATCACGACCAGTTCCGACCATTCACGATAGGAAGGGGGATACGCAGGTGTGAACGGACTCAAGTAGATAAGGAATTAGCTGAATTAGCTGAATCTCATTCCACAAACAACTCGACTATGAGTTTGAATCTACAATATTCAGTCGAGTCACCTTTAAAGAAGAACAGGAGTATCATTTCCTTCGAAGTAGAAACTCTAGCCGTTGTGAATTCACTGGAGAAGTTCAGGGTTTATTTGATTGGTATCAAATTGAATATTGTCACTGATTGCAGGGCTGTTCGTTCTACGTTGACGAAGCGAGACCTGGTGAGGTACCATCGGTCGCTGTTTGTTAAGGACGCAAGAATTCGATTTCACGATAGAGTATTGTCCAGGTACGAAAATGAGTCACGTCGACGCTTTGAGGAGAAACCCAGTTGTGAGTGACGTGGGCCACAATGGGGTCAATCTCTTCCACGTCGATATCGATAGGAAAGTGGAAGTTTATGAGGAATACGTTCTCGAATCGTTCTCAGATCGTCTATACCAAATAACCTCAAGAGATCATTGGTTGTTTGAACCTAAGTCAGCTCGACGAAGACTCTTGAAGTTTCATCACGGTGGAGCCGGTCACTTCTCAGTTGATGAGACCTAGAATCACTTGCCAAGCAGTACTGCTTTCCTACGATGACAGAATACATCAAAAACTGAATTTTGTCCTATTCAGGTTGTTTGCTATAGCCTATCAGTAGTTAAAACTAAGAGAGCACGACTACCAGCATAGGGAAATACATGCTTTAATCTTAACTGGAACGCGGCCTGTGTTCTAGCGGGGAAGCGGGGTAGCGGGAGCGCGAGCTTATCGAAACCGCAACAAATAACACTTTAATGACAATAACAAGATGGTGACGACATCATCATGATGAATTTTTAAATAAATAAATTAAAAAAAGCTGTCACCGCTTGGGGGGAATTGAACCAGGGACCTTTGCATTATGAGACAGCGTATATACACACTGTGGTATTCCGACCTCCATGATATTTCAATTATTTTAATGCTATTCAAACGGGTTATCCATCGCTGGCGCGCGCTTATCTTTACAACGGATCCGTCGAGGTAGAGTGAAGCGAGAGATGCATTCCAGAGATAAGAAACTTCGAGTTGAAAATAATATCCATCGCTGACGCTCGCTTATCTTTGCAACGGATCTATCGAGGTAGAGTAAGGCTCAAGCGCTCGGCGCTGCAACGTTGTCAGACGTATGTGTTTGGATGTAAATATTGTTACATTATTGTGTGTGGCAACGCTGTCTCGATTCATGGCGTTCGAAGATCCAGCAAAGCGAGAGATCCCTTAGAATGATAAGCGCGCGCTCGTATACCCATTCCTCAAACTGTGACTTTAATGACAATAACAAGATTGAATTTTCATATACAGGGTGTTTGAGTTAATGAAGATTGAAAAAAAATATATACAGGGCGATCCATGAGGGTGAAAGAATACGAAAACGGAGATAAATAATCTATTTATTTAAGTAATCCTTTTCTACAAAAATGACATGCCTCTTGAGAAGATGGCGGTCCATCCCAGTGTGTGGTCCAATCGGGACGATTATAATGAACGAAGCATGGCAGTTTGATTTGTAGGTTAAAGTTGCTGCGATATTCTTGAGGAAGTTTGTGCCACACCCTTAATAGCCCATGAGGATCTGCATATTCAATGAGACATTCTACTGGAATGTACTGCAATTCTTGTTCAGTGAATTTCGTCAAAGTCAAAGCGGGAGATTTTATAAACTCCAATAGCACAGCTATTTCAGACTTCATGATTTTTCGAGGAGAGCTAAAATATTTCAGATGCTACTAGTTTCGCGTCAAGTTGTAGACTGATGAAATAAATAAAAAACGAGTCACATATTTCACAAGTTTTTATTCAAATCAGCCATCAAATCATTTTTACAGTAATATAGATATTCTCTGAGAGCGTTATTAGACATGCTATTGCAAACATCGCAAAACCCTAATATAAGCTCTTGTGCACTCAAAACAGACAGTTTATTTTTTATCCATTCAGCTATTACATTCATAATATTCTGATAAAACATAAAAAAGTCCAAGTCATTGATTAAATTAACTCGATGTGAAACAATGCACATTTCAGCACTCAAAATGTCTGCAACATCCTCTTCCACCAATTCGAATGTAATGTGGTATTTGGTTAGTGACAACATTTTGACACCATCGCAAACGAATTTGGTTATGGTGATATAGTCTCCACAGGTGGTAACGGCAGGATCATATTCATCAATGAAACAGGGCAGGGGTGCTTCAAAAAAGTCTTGTTGTACCTTATACAGCGAATCGATGAAGGTGGCCCATTCATATGTGGAGAACAAAATTTTCGCTGGATGGAAGGGTTTCTTCAGGATGATGCTCGGACTAAACTGTCTAGCTGGACTAAGTCCGCACTGAATCATGTAGGTGGACAACTGGAACGATGAAGTCAGCAGGAGGTACGATTCGGCTTTCGCTGCTTGCTCAATCATGTCCAAATATGTATCAACGTCACCATAATAACCCATCATTGCCAATGATCTAGAACTACCGTCTTCGGAAAGCACTTCACTAGATGAATAACCAGAGTCTTCACTCATTGTTCTCGAACTGATGTGTTGAAAGTTTCAGTCCTCATTATTTATACCATAACTGTTGACTGATCATAACATCCGGCAGATTGGAATAACAGGTTATTTGTTAGTGATCGATGAAAGGCCCTCTCATAGCCATTGAATGTGTGCTTCTTTTCCATATGTTTGCATTATAATTTATTGTTGGAATCAATCCAACTATTGTGTGTATCATCGAATCCCAACCATTTGACAAACACCTTTTCGCCTTTTTTTCTTAAAACTTTTTCCACTAGATAGATGTCAGGATTTATAGTTTTTTGCAATTCTTCAGGATAAAAAGCACCTTTGATCGGAGTACCATGCAAATCTTCCAAGATGTATGTAGTAGGTTTCGTAATACGAACTTTTACGATTTTAAATAGTTCAGTAGTTTGGTGTATAATTCTTTTCGAAAACATGTTTGGCTTTGCTTATTCTCACAATGTCACCAACGTCGAATTTTCTGGTTCCAGCAATTTTGATGTGATTGTACGTGGATTTTAAAATATCATGTTCGTTGACTTTGGTGACGTCACTGGGCTTGCATCTTATTGTCGTATGTTTCGTGTTATTATAATTTTTCGTGATTTCAGGCAGGACATCTATCCAACGGTATGAGCCATTCAAACTAAAGTACTTGTATAGTTTTTCCTTCAATGTCCGTATAACACGTTCAGCAATGGCTGCCTTCATTATGGTATACGTATGATAATGGTTGATGGAGAACTTTTTCATCAGACTTTGAAACTTTTCGTTGTAGAATTCGTACCTTGATCGGTTTGCAAATTCTTGGGAATTCTGGTGTTGCCAGCATGTGATAGGATATCTGCAAATGCTCGAGCGATTTCAGCACCAGTTTTTGATTTTAGTGGTCTAGTCCATAGGTACTTGGAAAAACAATCAATCACGACCATTATCAGCTTGTGATCCTTATTAACAGAGGCATAAGGTCGCATTTCGGCTAGATCCATTTGCCATAAGTCATCCAAACCTTTGATGATAATGCGGCGCCTTGGAAATTTTTTCCTAGCAGGTCTATGTAATTCATTGACGAGTTGGATTTTTTCTATAGAATGTGACATATTGACTTCGTTGGATTAGGAGTTTATATGATGGGTTTCACACAGGGGGCATCCTTTTTGGTGGCGGTGGTGTTGTCGTAGATTTTGGAGTGATGGCAATCTTGGCCAGATCTTTTTTCATTTGATCAATGGCATCAGCAAGCTGGCGTTCTTTATCACGGCTGTGTTGTTGCTCAGCCTTCAAATCGTGCAAACTCTTCACAGTGTTGTCAATCTTATCGACAAGTTCTAGAATATTTTTCACATTCAAGTCGATGTCGCTTTCGAGTTTTGGTAGAGAGTTGTTGCGA